TATAATGGCTATTGAAATTATAAAGGATTATGAAAGCCCCTATATTATACACAAGGCTTGTCAGCCATCTGCATGCGGTGTCTCCTGCCTGTGTGGCAGGCAGGAGAATAATCAACTCATCTGCGGCATGGCTTTGCCATAGCAAAGGTCGATCCTAGCGGCAGCAGGCATCGATTGTCCAAAGAACCCTGTGAGTGTGGGGTGAGCGAGTGCCTTCTCCGGTGGATTTAGCACCGGGTGTCTCTCATCACTGCGGCGCCACCTCGGCTCTGACTGAGAAGTTCTGCTCCCATCCTAAACCCCTACTATAGGGGCCTTAGTACTTACCAATACCATTTTGGGGGCTCCCTGTTAGAATTGCAATGTCTTGGGCCTTTTCTCCGGGTGCTCTTTGCTTCTGAATGACCCCAGCAGGGTGCCCGAGCACTTCTCGATGACTCGCCCACAAAGGTCCTTCGGCAGGCAAGAGGATAGTTCTGACGGGCAAAAGAGCGACGTTAAACTCATATGGGTAGTTGTCAAAATTAGGGCCCCTTTTTGGGGTCCCTATTTTCATACGGCACCTAATATTTAAGGTACCCGAGAAGGGACCCTAATTTTGACAATCATCCATATTCAGGTTTGAAAATATCATGCTAAGTAGAACGAGAGTCAAAGAAGGATAGTGTTTCTTCTCCTTAGCCGTGCTGACGAAAGACGAAGTCACCCTGGTGGCTGCCAACGTGCCGACATTGACTTCAAACATGACTGTGCAAACAGAATATACAAGCAAGTCTCCACGCACATATTTCTGAATCGGTGCGGCAACGACATGGCCAGTATTGGTGGTAGGATCAATCAGCTTCGTAAACAGGTCGTACACGGCTTTGCAGGAGACCGCCTGTAGTTGCCACAGCCATGTGCACCAATCCAACTATTCGCATGTGCTTGACTGTTGATTCCAAAGCACAATAGCGAAGACGCCGGTCTCTGTGGCAGAGGTAAACACGAAAGATCCTGTCTTCCTCAGACATGTGCAAGAACGGCGTACCATCTGCCCAAGGACCAACTGGCGAAACAACGAGAGTCTCCCTCCGTGCAAAAAAGGCTCCGAACGCTGCTGTTCTCTGCCAAAACGATCTGGCTCTTCGGGTCCTGGATCTCCTCGGTTGGAGACGTCTACGGCGCCCTTTTGCCACTGGACTCAAGTCTAGCCAGTTTAAGACCCCAATCATCTTGACCGAGGCCGACATGCAGCACCGATATCCCCAGCTACGGAGCCCTGACCCTAAAACCCTTCTGCCTTAATTATAGATTAAGCGATAAATATACCATATGTCTATCACAGACACAGACACTCTGTATGTATATACATATATATATACACATATGTATATATGTAGTCGTATATTCTACGACAAGCCCTAGGAGCTCGTGCTTCATCTGCGGCCCGGGGTCGGTGACGATCTTGCATTTCTTGCGGTAAGTTTTCAGCCGATGCTGGGAGATGGCATCGGCCCTGCAATCCAGGACCTGGGCCGGGTGCCAAGGGGTTTTGGGTGGTTTAAATTCCAGCGCAGCAGAGGTGTCAGACAAGTTGCATATCTCAGGTTGATGGCAATCGTGAGGTTCCTCCATGTCATAGGCACACCAGACAGAGACTCTCACACTTTTAATTTTCCTCCCCGCCAACTTCAAGAGGTGCACAGCTTTCAGTTCCAGTCTCGCAATAAAACTTCCCCAAACCCTTTTTGAAGCACGGACGTGCAGTGTATGCCCTTCCCAAAATCCCTGAACCCTAAACTTAACATACACTCATCAAAATCCTAAGGAGCCCTACCCAAAACTCCGCTCTCGAACTTCCCAGAGTCGTTTGGTAAGCCCAGTATAGTATGTGTATAGCATATATTTATATATAGACACACATGTGGTGTGTGTCTCTAAATGCATAGGTATGTCTGTATATGTATATATATATATATACATGTACACATCTATATCTATATCATATATGTATGTATTCAGGTCTGTCCTGGCATCCGAATCCATGGCATTCTCACCGAAATCTTCTCGCTCAGAAAGAACCAAAGCGCAGTCAGCCTAAAGGCCGAGGTGTTCGTCTGGGAGTTTCCGAAAATTAGGGGCTCCTTTAGAGGGATCTATAAGGGTTCCTTCTGGGGTTGCTCTAAGGGATCTATAGGATTTAGGGTTTAGGGTTTGGGAGTTTCCGAAAACTAGGGGTACCTTATTTTGGGGGTCCTTATAATAAGGATCCGACTATTTTGGGCACTACATTAGGGTACCCTAAATAGTAGGATCCTTATTATAAGGACCCCAAAATAAGGTACCCCCTATTCGGAAACTCCCATCTAACAATAATAATTACAGGTAAGAGCAATGCAAGAATTGATGATAACACAAGCTGTAAATGTAACACTAATAGTTCAGAACAGTGCGATTCATGATGGTAACAAAGACAGTCATAATGATACTGATAATCGTATTTTTTCGGGCCTGAGGCTTCGGGTTTATGCTCTCGCAACTCGGACACAGCCAGGCGAGGTTCTTAGGTGCGGAGTCGGTGTGAAAAGAGGCTCGGTGCGATTCTCACTTGCTTCGGGTTTAGGATGGTATAGGGTTGAGGGTTTCGGGTCCAGGGCTTGTGATACTTGGTACCTGCACTCCGACATGTTGCAAGGTCTGCAGAGAACATAACAACATCTAGGGGTTCCAATCGCCCACTGGTTTTAGGGCACACTGGTTTAGGGTTTCGGCGCTCACACTCAGACAATTCAGTGGTTTCGGCGCTCACACTCGGACGGTCCAAGTGGATTTAGGGTTAAGGGCTTTCTGGCTTTCACTTTAGCGGGTTTCTGAGGTGGTTTGAATCTGTCGTAAGCATCGGACGATGTCGAGAGGAAGCTTCTCCAGCATAGCAGGATCTCGTCGACTGCCCACGTGGTGTGTGACGGTAATCCTGCAGGAGACGAGAATTGTAGATGCATGATGCATACTCGGCATACTCAGCCAGAGGCTTTCAAACTGGTCTGCTTCTGTCTCGCACTTCGAGTGGTCGTCAGTCTGCCCATGCTTGAATGGATGTGCCAGTAGCTAGAGGCCCCTTATGCAGCTTTTTGTGCTCATCATTAGTTGACGTCCTGTCGAAGCAGAGCTTTCCCCATCTGGCCAAGTTTAGCCGCAGCTGCGTCTGTCGCCTCGAGAGAAGCTCTGAATCGGACAAGCGATGTCCGGTTGCATAGGACGACCGAAGCATCAGGAATCCGAACGCAACGACCACAAAAGCAATCGTTGGAATCCAGGCCGTGGCGGTCGTGGAGTCGAGGCAGTGAGGCTTTGGAGAGCTAAAGTGACAGTGGACTGCAGGCTTTTAGCCTACGTAACACGAGCCGACAGTTTCTACACTGGTGGATCGGTCGGCAGGAAGAGCGCTAGAGCGCTAAGGGTACTTGACCATGCGGAGGGGTAGTTCTCCCGTTTCCCTTGCAGAAGCTCCAAAGGATAAACCACACACGACGGCAGAATGCTTGGCTTAGAACCCGGCTTCAACAAGGAAAAGCAGGTGGATTAAAGCCTGGTGCAGCCCGGGTGCCACTGCACAGGTCGAGTGGAGAGAAGGTGGATGTGGCCTGGATGGAGATGCGTGACGGGACCCAAGGGCTGACTGCCTGACCGAGTGTGCAATGAAGGTGCTAGATGAGCTCACATAGCCGTCAATGATGTCCAGAATGTCACAGAAATCATCTGGACCTTGCCGAGGCGTCGGGCAGTGGAGGATGAAAACCCCGATGTCTCGCTGAGCAGGGTGCAGCCGAGAACGAGCACAACTTGAGGACCATCTGCTGCCTGCAACTGGCAAGGTCGGTCTCTTGAAGTCTGATAAACAGGGTTGCGCAATGTAGGGGCCTTATTGTAACAATTAGAATACATAGTGTTTTGGGGGTCACTTCTTGTTACTTATTACAGGTATAGCATAATATACCCCCAAACCCTGCTCGAATTATTGAGCCCCTGCATTACCAGGCCAGTCTGGATGCAGTTTGGATGCTGGCCCAAGACGGATCTGGCCGTCCGGCATGAGAACTCTGTTGTGCATTTTCCGCACCTTTGGGCTTCAACAGCTCATGTCTGCGCAACACAACTTCCTGCACAGAGCCCCGATCGGACACTCCAGAAAAAGCCACGTGCAATCACGGAGCTTTTTCGTTCGTGTTTCGCTCGACTTCTGGCGAGATTTTCGTCTCATACGTCTGCCGGAAATCACTTCGCTTGCCACCTTCAAGAGCGTCGCAGCATCTTGCAGTGAACTTGCTGGAAGCAAGCATGACCAGCTCGTCGCCTTCCTTACATCGGGAAGAGCCAAGTTTGCATCAGCATCTGTGCTCGCATCTGGCCAAGCTTCTTCCAAAATATGTGGAAGCTGCCCCAATTTCAGAGGTGTGCTCTTGTGGTCAGCGCTCTGCTTCACTCCACATACCACTGCGTATGGGAAGAAGCAGTGGGCATCCTGGCATCACAAAAGGATAGAGACACTTCTCAGGCCAGTGGTTGTCATGACATCTCCACATGAGGTGCCGATCCTGCAGCTGGAGGCCTATAAGGGCTTCTGGCACGGGCACCTGAGAAGACTACCAGAGCACTGTAGCTGCTTGTGATGGATTTCGGCGCAGCTGGCAGAGCTCCGCACGAGGAAGAGCTGAGTGCCCGATCCTTTCACACAGTTCATTTGCTGCGACCGGAAGCTCTTCCGTGATCGTTAAGACCAGCAGCTGGTTGTGGACATCTTCAGCCAGGCATAGCCCACAGATGGCACCAGGGCTCGGAGAGTGATCATGCGATTCACCTGATCGTCGCACACGGTCAAGAATCATGCGCACTACACACGAGCAGAAACTGATGCAGCGCATCATGCTCTCGGAAGCTTCTTTCTCCAAGCCACTGCATGCCTGGCTACGATGCCTTGTGCAGATGGAAGGATTGTGTGCACAATGCGGGCGTTCTCACGATTGTGCATCTCCTTAGCATGCAAGCACAGACCCTTCACGAAGCCAAGCATCACCTCGTTATAATTACTAGTACGATCCCTCTGGGCAGCCTCTGTACCTATTTGTCTCCGGCAGGCAGGAGACCAGAGAATGTCTGGATTTTGTTTGTTTACTAGGTGGTCCTGACAAACTACTGCAGTTCCCGGTGCATCAGGAAAAACTTCGTTGGATCTATATCCTTGCGGACTTGATATTTTCGATGCCCGCACGGCGACGGTCCCCATTCCGTTCAGTGCGTTTTCGCCGCTATGCTCCATCATCCTTCCCTTTGCAAGATGGTGTCCCATCCCAAGACCCCGAGCTTCCCGCTCCTATCCTACACGGGAAAGCCACGGTCCCTTGCAGATAGAGGGCAGCACGCTTCCTGTTTCCCTCTACTCTGCTCGAAAGACACGAAGGCGCTTACGGCATGTGGTAGAGAGGCCCGCCCCAAGCACCGGATCGTGCCTAGGGGCTGTCCACACATCCGCCTTCGTCTCTGTCTCAGGCGCACCCAAAGCCAGAAGTGTGCGGATCGCCTCGTGGGCTCGATTTCGGCTCTGGTGCGAGCTTCAACCTAACTCCATTCCGCCCGAACTCAAGTCTGAGCCAAGCATCTTCATGGTCCGAGCTGATGTCCGTCTCATTCGTACACATGATCAGGATGTGCTCAGCCAGCGGGGCGTCCACCTTCCGGCTGCGAGCTGATCGCCCAGATGTACTATGTAATGCAAAAGCAGATGTAAATTCATGAAAGTGTCTACACATGTACAGATACAGATATGTTTACTATCCAACTTTGTACCGACTACGTTCTGCTTAAGTCTGACTACTCTATTCTACTATGCTCTATTACATTCAGTTCTATTCTGTCATATTAGATTACGTATAACAGTATAACATGCATAAAACTCATGTGCGCATATGTATATATATATATATATGTATATGTATACATATATATATATATATATATATATATATATGTATATATATATATATATATATATATATATGTATACACGTGTGTGTATGTATGTAGGTAGGTAGGTTGGTAGGCAATTATGTAAGTAGACATGTGTACATGGGGTGTGTGTTATGGTGTGTGGTAAATGACAACTGCCATGTCATACTACTAATGTGTACAACCATTTTCATATAGGACATATGGTGTATAATGCATATTTATATATATACACATGTGTCAATACATGTTACAAACAGCATACAACATGTAGCATATTCATATCTGAACATACAACCCTTTCCATTCGTGATATGTAGCATATCATAACCGCGCATAACATGATTCAACATGGCCTGATATCAGAAAGCACAAGCAATTCAACGTAACATGACACTGCGTGACATGACACACAAACCTAGTAGTATAATGCAATGAAGTTCAACAAAGCATAGCAAAACATATCAACACATACCACAACGTCCTGTGAAATGATGTAGTGCATATGTATAGTCCAGTTCAACAACGTACAGTACATTAAATGAAAACAGAAAATGAAATAACATTAACAATCAAATGCCATGAACTGGTACGTGGCAGTCCCTGCCTTCATCAGCTCGACCCGGTGGGCACTGCAGCCCTCTCGGTAGGAGATGCACCGCAGCTTCCGGTATGCACCTGCATAGTAAGGGACAGTAAGGGATTTCATCTAATTACCTGACTTCAAGGGCTTCTGCTAGCCTTGGAGGTCTTTGGTCCGAAAATGCATCTGAACAGGGCGCAATGCAACAATGCAGGAGATGCATCAGCAAACCTTGATGCGACCTGCCTGGACTTCACGCTGCATTTCCCGCACACCTTTCTCAGCGAGTATGACCTCAAGTGAATCATGTGCTTGCCTCGTTTCGCTTTGCTATGACGCTTCGAAACACTAGCATTTCCTGTCTGTTAAGATGCGGGGCGATTCGTTGCCGATGCGGCCACCAGCATCTGGCATTTGCCTCTTCCTTGCTGCTCACGGCCTCTAACCTTGTGCGCGTGCGTCAGTCCCAGGACTGGAAAGCAAAGAGAGCACTTCTCTGTCGAAACTTGAATCACGTGTGACAGTGGCTTTGCGAAGTTAATCTCGAAGCACTGGGGCAAAGATGCAGTTCAAGCACAAGGAATATTAACGGTGCAGCGTGGTCACAGCTCCTCCAACAGGAACAGGGTCTTATCCTCGGAGCGAGCACTGTGTCGTGGCTACTCATGGGACAGCCCCTTTCGGCTTCAATCTTCGAGGCCCCAACCCCCCAGCCGAGGATTAACCAATGGCCTTGGGCATCGATCTTGCTGTATTTGTCTTTCCAGAAAAGGAGGAGAGATCGGATGAGCTCCACCACCTGAAGAGAAGCAGGTCATGTTTATTGGCTCGTCAGCTGAAACTTGATCGCGGCATTGTTTTATGACCGCCGGGCACATCCTAAGCCCTGGACCATGCCCAGAAAAGTCAGGCAATACCTGAACTGCTTCGCTGAATCAGCTCACTCCTGTCCCGGTCCCGACTTCGTCAAGCTCTCAGTCGAGCAGCACGAAGCCAGCTATGGAAATGACCACTGCAACTCCTCTGACCACGCCGCGTTCCTTGAGCGGTTTGCATTGCACGGACTCCAATCCGGGCACGACCTCTATCCAAAGTCTGCGAATGCAAGGCTCTCCAGCTGCAAAGCCTGTCTGCGTGCCAATGTCCACGAGCAGTATGTAGGAAACCCTGAGCTTCTGCTGCATCATGCCGGCAGAATGCAAACCGTCATTGGTTGGATCTGTCAAGACTCCAAAAGCTTTCAGTCAAGCCAGTTCCGTAGTCTGGGTTTCCACCAGACCCGACCCATGCCAGCATACTCAGGATCTGCAGACCTCGGTCGGAAATTCCGATAGTAAAGCATAGTTTTGCGGTTTCGATCGCAGAACTGCAGACGAGAAGCAACACCCCACGAAGAACAGTACCAACCAGTGCCCAGGCCTCTGAAATCGGGTCGATGTGTCCAAAATTGCAGCAGCATCTGCGAGTAAAACACGCCCTACATACGTACATACATACATATCGATAGATACATATATGTAGATATACATGTATACATGCATGTGGATACTATATAATATATACACACATTGTACATACCATATAGCATATAGTATTTACCACGTACATGCCCAGTCACGTAGTTCCGAGAAGTCGGGAACGAAGCCCAGTCTGTCGCACGACTTCTGATGGGCGCGTCAAGCGCTTTCCCAAGGATCGGCATTTGCATCGCATCTTCATCTCTCATGGCACTTGCATGCACCTTCTCACTACGGAAGGACCTTGCAGGTCTCTAGTGTGCAGTTGTCTTTGACAAGGCTTGCTATGCTTCGCTGCCCCTGATTGGCACGGCCTGGCCAAGTCCACATACGGATACCTACAAGTACCGGTTTGGTAGTCCTGAATGTTGCGTCGAAGAACATCTGGAAGATGAAACAAGTCCGTGTCCACCAGAATCACATTGTGACCATGAATTAACCATGACACGTTCGTCTCGAGCCCGAATTCTTATGCTGCTGAGAGCTCCTAAAGTGAAGTGCAACAGCCACGGCTCTAAGACTCTATCTAGTCACTGGCCTGCATCCTTTTGTCTCAGCCGGCGTTGGAACGAGACGACTCTGGCAACCAAGATAGAGCGCCCGAGATGCGGAGGGTTTCCGGCACGTATGGCGGCCATGCCCATGTCCTTCTTGTTGTCCCAGGATTTGCTGCACTTCGAACACCGCCTTGGCTCGTCGAGCGTCCGCGTTCATCTTCCCCTTGCTTTACTTGTGCATCGGGGAGAAGTGCGGAGCCTGGAAGTACCTTAGATCGGAGACTATCCGAAACAAAGGCAAAACAAAAGATTCTGCTACACTACAAGTGCTGGCCGCAGGGAGATATGACATCGGAGGCAGACAGCAGGTGGAAAGCTACAACTGAAGCCAGCCTCACTCTGAGAGGCTTGGCTTCGGCTGTTGACGAGATGGCGAAGACCTTCCCTTCAACAATCGTTTTCGCTTGCTAAGGAGGCGGTTTAGAGTGGGGTGTACGACCTCCAAGGTGCGCCTTAGGTGAAGAAGCAAAGCAGGAAGGCCAGTACTTCAAGCTTCCTTCGTCTGCTCTGCTCACGTATACAGCTTGTCCTATTAGTCTTCTCGGCCGCTGTCAACCACTGGACATGGAAGGTCAAAGAACTCCAGCTCAGAACAAAAGATAGATTGTCATTCGATTCGGGCCATTGGAATCCAAGCCACTGTGGAGGACAGCAGGCGACAAACACGTCCATCTCAGTCTTCGCGTGAATTTCGGGCTCCACTCCTGCTGCCAACATGAAGACCTGCCGGCAGATTTCGGAATGCAGGATCACTATTTCAGCGGCTGGTCTCTGCCGCAGCATTCGACACATCATGCAGCATCTTTGCCTTGCCAGGACCGATGTCCTGCTCAGCTGCTTAGCGCTTCCTACGCCTCTACGCTGTCCCACCACTCTCTGCTCCCTACGCGGCCGCGCAGAAAAGCGGCTCCCGTGTCTCACCAGAAATCGTTACGGTGCCTTGGCAGCGGAGGCTCTGCAGACGTGAAGCCCGGATCCGAACAGTGGTTCTAGAACTCTTTCGTTGCAGCCCGGAAGCCGTGACCTTTGAGGTTCAACGCCATAGCAGGCCCCTCGCTACTGAACAGTCGATGTTGTCGACCTTTCCGACTTCAGCTGCGTTATGCGAGCAGCTGGGTCTGAGAGTTGCCAAGGCATGCGGCCTCCGACTTCCAAGTGTAGGTGTATCACTTGGAACTCCTCTCATCGCACACAGCACCACCTTTGCAGCAACGAGGAACGAACGCAATGCAACACCAAAGGCCAATCTCCTCGATGTCAGGATCAGCATAGAGTCGGATACCGGCCTCCAGCCTTGGATTATTTATAGACGCAAGTCTGGAGCAAGTGCCACACTGTAGTGCCAATTACACACCATAGAAGACTGCCAAAAGGCTCTGTAGGTTTCACTGTCGCTGGAGCTCCACCTGAGTCGCACGTGTCGCGAGTCGTCAGACGTTCGCTTAACATTCGAAACTTATCCTCGGCCAGCCTTCGTAGCGCAACATGCTGCACAGGACCTCCAGATCCTGCATTTCATTGCTCTGGAAGCTCACTGAAAGGGAGGAAAGAAGCATGCATCACACGTTGCTCGCAGAGCAGTCGCGATTCTACTGCGATGCACAGCGTTGAGGTCCTTGAACTTCGGCGTCAATCCACCGCGGACGACGTTGTCCGAGCAAGCCATGCACCTTGGAAGACGCAACAAGGACTTCGAAAGTAAAGTGAATTTGCGCCTGGGGCTCTTGCTCAACAATGTCTCCCGAGATGTATGCATGCGGGACATTCTGTGCCATGTACAAGCCTGGGCGGCGAAGGCAGGACAAAGTTACTTACCACTGATATGGCCAAGTGCGAACCAAGCATCATTCGCCTACTTTGAGACGGGCATAGTTCATGAACATGGCGGCGAATATGCCTGGCACCGGAAATCTCGACAAGCACACATCGACACCACGAACCTGGCCTACATCGTTCTCGTACTGCGTCTGCAAGGTACCTTCAGCTCTTGTGATGGGAAGCTCCACTCTTGTTGAAACCCTGACACCCACTGCCTCTACAACGTATGTGAGGGGGTTCCTATATAGATATGTGCTTTACTTTGTCAGGTCTCAACAGGACGAGCACGTCAACCCTCAACTCCCCAAAAACTAACACCCCTTAAACCTAAACACTTCAGAGAGGATCCCGCCAGAGAAAAGACCAACAGCCAGGGCACTTATGAGCTCGAAGAGATCCTCCAAAGCAGGCTTTGTGTCCCTCTTCGCATGTGTTATTCTTATAGCCAGATCCTGTTGGGAGCGTCAGCAGTCCTGAATGTTCGGAGGTGCATCTGCCGGCGGCTTGGCTCGAGCTTGCAGCAGCTCTAGCTGATCTGTAATCTCCTTCTCAGATGCATGCATCCTGAGCGAACGGAAAGATTTGCCTGCTTCTGGCACTTTGGTGCGGTAGAGCCACGCCAAACTTACCACAGCCAACGTCTTGCAGCAATGTCTCAGCCGTGTGTACGCATTCTGGAGAGCCTCACGGGATCTGAAGCAGGTCGCAGCAACCAAGCCGTGAAATGGCGACATCTAAACCTGCGACTGGCTGCAAGCCATGTAGCCGTAGACTCTGCCGCTTTGTCGCCGATGGCAGCTTTCAGACTCTCGTGGCAGTCCCTCCCGATAATGGTGCTGGCTTCTGGTACATACCTTGCTCGTGCTATCTCGTGCTCTCGGGGCCGTGGAAAATGTAGCAGATGATTTCCGAGTCCAGTATATAATATCATGTTATGCTCTCGCTTATGCAATGTTGTGATATATCCATACCTGTCAGAAATTCATAGTCTAGCTTGCTTTATCCTAGTACATCCGAAATCAGGTACTCAATGCATAGCCACAGTCTAACTAGTAGGATATTGAGGCGAGTTGCTCCAAGATTTGAACAATCTCAGAGACTGTTCGGAAACCACCTGGGCAGCCGAGAGAGGCAAGGATGATATGACCCTCTGGACGACCAACAAAACCACCTGTCGGTACTGCAGGCATTACTTCGGCCAGGGTGCACAGGGCCCGGAAATCATCCGTCAAGGCTATCGCAATTTCTGGCTTGTGATTCGGATCCTTGTAGATGTGCGGCTTCTCCAGATGTAGACGAGATGCGAGCTCTTTGTCAGGATGTGCCTGTATGGATAGAGCTTTCTGTATGGATAGGACTTTCAGCAAAAAGGGCAGCTGCTTTGTATCTTGCAGTTGTGGCCCCAAGACTGAAGGAGTCTTGTGAAACACCTCCTGCAAAGAAGTGCTCCGGTGGACCACTTTGTCCGCATTTCGAGGGCTGGTTCCAGGACTGACCACCCGTGCCGGTCCCGATGGGTGGTCTCCCATCCACATTTCGGCAAATGGCTTTCGAGCATCTGGCTCGTCAGCCAGATGTGGACTCTGCTGACCGGTAAGTGCAGCTATAATGCTTTCGTTTCGTGGTTTGCCCCAATCGTAGTGCTGGGTGAACGGTGCAAGCGACAGGAGCTGGATACCCAACCCATCCACCATCTGAATACACAGCCTTTGGCAAACCTGGACTTCTTGCTTCGTCGGGATCTGTCCGCCTCCGTTTGCAAAAATGTCCGGATGCAGCAGTTGCAAGGTTTCTGCTACGGAGTCATCCTCGTCCACCGCTTCAACGGCGGCGTCCACGCACTGCAGGGACCTAACCAACTTTACCCGCTCGCGTGCAGGGAGCGTCAGGTCTCCGCCTTGTGGCTTCTTGGATCGACGCTGTGCCTGAGCCGACGTTCCAAGACCCGAGGCGAGGAAACGAGGAAAAGAAAGAGACTCTCCGCCACTCTGCCTGACCATCGTTGTTGACAATCACGATCAGGCTCGTTCCAAGATCCCTGGCCTTGGCTCTGACGCTTGAAAACCACTCCCAGACTTGATTCTGAGTAACTCCGGCCTTCTCCAGGTAGGAAACGTGTCCGTAGTGCAAAGGGTTGAAGTAGCCGGAGGCCACAACCACACGCTTCGTCATCCACCACCTCACCGAGTCTGAGTGCCGCAGCAAGCCTATTGGCTATGGCAATTTCCTCGCACCGTTGCTGCCAAAGCTCTGCCACAAGAAAACATCATTCCGCCAGTGGCCCAGTCATCAAGCTTCTGATGCTGTAAGCCAAACGCGGCGGGGACTTTTGATGGCTTGCCCAGCTGATAAATGGTCTTCCTCATTGATTTTCTGGGCGCGCATACACGGAAGAAGCGACATGAACGATACCTGTGGAGCACACCACAACGAGACGTTCTGCAGGCAGAAATGTTCGGATCTGGACTTTTCCACGCGAATGCATCGCTTGCTATCGCGTTCTCTTGTCCTGCATAGCAGCGAGCCACACCGGAGCTTCGGGTGGCATCACACTTGAGTGCAACTTCTGGCCTTGCTCCCTCTCGTGGGCATGGCCGTGCTTCTCTTGACTCCTTCGGATTGATCGCTGTCCAAGAAGAAGGCCAAGAAATTCAGAGTGCCGCCAAGTCACCGCCCCACGCCTAAGCGCGGATGCTCAATGCTTCTATCCACCACAAACATCTTCCAATATTTTAGTTAACAAACTGGCCTTCCCCCCGGCCATTGGTTTGGCCATTTCTGGCGCACGATCGATCTGCGCGGCCTGCGATCTAGAATCTCAAGTCGAGTTCTGCTGCCCTCAGAGCACAACCGAGCAGCCTTTCCTTTTCAAACGCCCTTTGCTTTCTTCCCACGGGCGTTGAAAAACGAGATGGGTAAGATAGCTCCTGGCAAAGGGCACCGAGACAGGGTGACAGTTTGTTCCGCCATTGGACGCACTCTTCCCGCCTCCGCAGCACCTTTCGTCTGAAAGGCTCTGGGAACGTTCGATGGTTTTGGTCTTGGAGGTCGTGGAGGCACCGCGAAGCCAGAACTCTTTGCTAGAGCCTGGTCTTCGAAACTCTGTCAAGCTGTAACGCAAATGTTTGCCGATAATAACGGGACACACAGCACATTCTGTGTATTTTCTGGCTTATAATGTTTCGCATACAATGTACAACACATAGTACGAAATACATGATGCATACTGTATGGAGTACCATGTGTCATGGGGAATATACAACATACAAGACATTATGCATAGTTAGCAGCTAAATTATACATCTCGTACTAATCAAGCTTCGATGCACTATAGGAATTCTCAAATCCTGGATTCCTGAATTCCTTTGTATCACCCCTTAGGAAAGAAGCTTCGGACTATTTAGAGAGTACTCACATCATGGGCTCCTGCATTTCTTTACATAACTAGCTTCCTTTACTATAACAGGAATTCTTCGATCCTGTATGCACTGCGTGCCCGATTTTCTCTGAATAGCACCCATTCTATCCCGTGCTAAATAAGCATCGATTCATTAGAGGATTTCCTAGGTCCTATAAAAGTCCCTTATTCAAGAAACCACAATTCGACTGGTGAATTTCCAGATCTTGGGCTCTTCCTGATTCTCCCTATATACACCGTGTATCTACAACGTATGCTGGAGGGTACTCAATTCTACAGGGTGTTCCAGATGGTAAACAAAAGGTACACAATGCGCATATAGCAGGTTTTTTAAAAGTATTATTCTCCTAATTATCCCGCTGTTAATCTTTAATATCTACAAAAGATTCTATAAGGCATTCTATGGTGTATTCCAAGGTTATTCAATAGGATTGTCTTTAGGAGGGTATCAGACACAGGGGGTATTCTATGAGATAGTTGAAGGGATATTGCAGATGGTTTTCTAAAGGGCCTATAACGGGCGTATTATGTCACGTATTTCGTTGGGCGTTCTATGGTATTCCATAAGGAATTGTATGAAGGATTCTATAGGGCATAAACATAAACTCAAAACTTGTATTGCAGAGACTATTCTATAAGGTCATCTATAAGGTAATCTAGAGGGTATTCAATACGGTGCGTGTACGGTATATAGGAGTATGTTACAATGTATTGTCTAGGTTAATCTATATGAAAACTTTTCAGGTTTGTAAAAGGATTATAAAGGGATTCTATATGCTGTTCTCTTCGATTCCTGATTTCTTCCTAGAGACCCCTTACCCAACAAGCAACAGTTTTATAGGGGGGTTCTCAAATCTTGCGTGCGTCAGGATTGTTTGTTTATACATCCTTTGGTTGAAGGGTTATCGATAGGAGATTATACAATGTAAAGGCATATATACGGTATACAGGGGCTATCATATACAGGACCGTAGCGGGTTGCTATAAGGTATTCTGTGGTTTTCAATAAAACGTACGGTATATAGGGGGGATTATGCATTCCATTAGGTAAGTTCGTAGGGCATTTTATGTGGTATTCTGCAAAGGTTCCATAAGTTATTGTATAAGGTATTCTAGGGCTATAGAGTAGTCAATAAGGCGTTCAGATATTCTCTGTTAGGCATTCCAGATGAAAGTTTATAAGGTATATATAGAGGAGTTATTCTAAAGGCGATCCTATCCTCTATCCTATAGGGTGCTCTGTATAGTGTATTGTATACGGTGCCCTATGGGAATGTGTAATATAAGGCGTTCGGATTCCGGTGTATCATATATTGGTGGGTTTTTACAAGGTACATCATTACAGAGCAGTCCAAATGGTGTTCTAGAAAGTATATACATATATACAGGGTTTAAAAGTGGAAGTGCGCCATGCATCCTGAAAGGTGTTCTCAAGGGTAATCTCTGTGTAATTCCACATTGTATTGCAGAACATACTCTACAGGGTATGTATACGTGTACTCTATAATGTATGCCGTTCTTTTTGTCGATTTGTTCAGGGATTTCCTAAATCCTAGATTCCTAGATTCTGCATTCTTTCATATAAACCCCTGAGTTTTCACACACGACATGCATTCGTATTGCATGTATGTTCTGTATGCGTCTATCCAAGCAGATTGTCAGCGCAGTGTCGTGTAAGTATAAAGATCAAAACCGGACCCTGTTCTTCTACAACTCCGATAAGACGCACCGAGATTGTGGATAATGTAAATGTCCATGAACACGAAATATCGATATTGACGGGCTTTCGGCCTACATCTGCAACAATACAAAAGCCCACACGAGCAGTTACAGGGTCGAGGTTGGTCTCAGGGGCGGTTACCATACCGAGCTTTGTGAATACTGATATCGATTGTCACGGGGCTCCGCATCTGGATTGCAATGGTTCTGTGGGACTTAAGGGGGGGTAGCATGTATAGATATATATATATATATATGTATATGGTATGCTGACATATAATGGGTCTCTGCATGTAACTTGAATCGCCGAATGATGGCTGAGGCGACTTCCTTTGAGGCCGGTTGCTTGAGCGCTCGCTGGTAGCTCACCTTTGCACGGGCTGCAACGGCATGAGCAACCAAAGACCCGTGCTAACCTTGGTTCCAGCCGAGCGACTGAAGGCTTCTTTGGCTCAATGGGCTTTGCTTTCGCCCGCAGTTCAGACACTGCTGCTTGCCCGGGCTCATCCAGAGGAGCTGGAGGCCTTACTAGTTTCACGATTTCACTCCCGAACACAACGATGTGTTTGGAATGCCGGTTGTGAGGAACTCACCCTAAACCAGAACCCCGGCTGCTGCCTGTCCCAATAGATCCTCATAGACAAGATTTTGTTTGCCGTAAACAAAACGATTTAATTTAACTGCTTAGACAAAAGTCTGTCCACAACAAATATTTATGCAAATAAACTTGGGCCCGCAAAATTTATGAACTGGGAAAGTGGTTGTCGACAGTTTATCTAAAAAATATTTATCTATTGGGATCATTTTGAACCTTGTTCACTTCTCCGTTTGTTCGCCGAAGTTTGACAGAAGTTTGCTGTGGTTTTTGTCGGAGTTTCCGTGTTGTTGGGTACAACAACAACAACTTTAGCTTAGGGTTTAGGTTTTTTAGTGCAGGTTTGAATCTGCATCAGTCGACTAGGCATCTCAGCCCGTGTTGGGCATGCATATTTGCCAAAACCTCTGCTTCACTTCTTGACATTGTGGCGATGAAACCCCTGTTCCGACTTTCCCTTTCATAGAATCTTCTTCTCGAGATCTCCAGACCTCCGGCGAAACTTCTGGTTGTGCTGCATCCCCTGTTCCCATGTCCTCACCAAAGACCCCCTCCTCGACATTGCCTCCATTGGAACCCTGTGGAGCACCAAAACCCTGTTGGTGTGGTTCCACACTGGTTCCACCGGATCTCCATCCCGATCTCGATCAACACCTGGTTCAGGTAGCACCCAGTCAGGCCCTGGACAGCAAGCCTGCCCGCCATCTGCATTTGCACACGGCTCCTGCGAAGCACTCGCCGCCTCACTCCCCGAAGAACTTGCGGAGGTCCCAACCGTGCCGCCCCGTGTCTCCCCTCGCTGCCGTGCCCTGATCGTCGGGCTTCGCTGCACCACATGCTCTCTGGTGTCGGCAAGGCCTGTGTCACCGTGAAGCCGAGGTCCAAGAAATGCTGCTCCAATCGCCAACTAGTCATTGCTTGGGGACAGATGGCCCAATACCATGCCGTTCTCATTCTGCGAACGGCCGATCTCGAGAACTGCATTGCCCACCCATCATCGACTGGTGTCACTGGCGCTCACACCGGCCCACGGTCCTCCGCCTCCGAATCTCCCGAACGAGGCGCCGTTCAGGATGTTCGTGTTGTCGAGCTCGCACCCGTCGTCCCCAAAGTGGTAGAACTGCTGCGGGAGATCTCAATGAGGCGGTCCCCCGAGAACCGAATGAAACAGCTTGGTCCACAATACTCGTGTACCACACGGGAGTATCGCCCGGCAGGAGTGGCGGGTCGAATGAAGCCACCCTCGGCGCAGTCACCCACCACACCACGGTGTACTGAGTCCATAAACCCGATTCATCCTCTTCCTCTACAAAATGCTTGAGCCTATGGATTTAGTTTTTGTATTTTTTGGGCTTCGGCGAATGGTGGGTGGTGCACTAAGCACCAGTGGATCGCACAACCCCTCGGGCGTACCTGCCTCTTTCCACTGCTCATTTGCAAGATGGGAAAAGTAGATGTCTGCGGCTGTGTGCCGCGGAGCGCGCGGACCTGTGCGCGAAAAGGTTTCTTCCAGTTTGAGGTCGCCCATCTAACCAATTATGTCTGTCACGCTTGGCGGCTTTACGGATATGCAGGTTGAATTCTGTAACATTTGCCATGTCCCCTTGCTGTCTCAGGTGGCCTCTTTCTTCCAGAAGGTCCAGCCTGCTTCGGGTTATCCATGGCTTTCTTGGTACGGACGAAACTTGGGGAACGTTGCGTTCAATGGCTTGTAAATACGTGCTGCTCAGTTTGCTCCATATGTTCGTTGGGCGTCCCGCCTTCACGTTTTCTTTCGCAATGCCGTCCCCAATGTCACTCTGCATTTTCAGCCACCTGCACGACCGTCTAGCATGCAAGGTCTTCAGGTTCTCCAACGCCTCGATCTTCTTATTTCCTCTTGTTCACTGATCGTGACTCCGGAGGTGTGGCCAATTTCAAGAGCATGCCCACTCAGACACGATCATGTGGGCACGCCTCAAAGAACGGCTGCACCCGGTTGAACCGCAGCTCTTCGATCATGGCTACGATGGCTGCCGGTACGACAAGTCTTAGCTCAGTGACCTGGGCATGCGTTCGATCAGAAGAGGTGCAACGCTGTGACATCTGAGACGGCTTAGGGTTTCGGATGGTTTCGGGGTTTCGGCGCTCACACTCGGACAATCCAGGCGAGGCATGTGGTTCGAGGTGAAGGGTTGAGCAGAACAACAACAACGGAAACAGCAACACCAACGCCGAAGTTTGGCCAGCAATATTTACCCGAAGTTTGGGTAGACAAATCCGACACATGACACATTCGTCTGAATTGAATAGATAAACTTGGCTTGTCTATTTTCGACGGCACAAACAGACGCCGAACACTTATCTGCATGGATAGGTTTTCGGCGGCAAATTTACCTACGTAGGCAAACTATCTACAACAATTAGCTATTTGTGCAAAGCACTCAAACTTTTAGATGTCTACCTGGACGAAAAACTGTACATATTTTGATCGCAAACCGTGGTTTTATGAGGGTCTATTGGGTGTAGGCTCTGGGCCACTGACGCTTCAACCTCTGCCTGGCGCAGGGTTTGTGAATCGCAAAAGGCAACTGCTAGAATACGCCATGCATATGTGTATATAAATATATACACATTGTACTATACTATACTACACTATACTATCCTTCAATGTACTATAATGTGTATACTCTGTGTAATAATATGACTTAAAACATGATGTAAGTGCAGTCATAAGTCTACGTGGCTAGGTAGTTTATATTTCTTGATACAGCGGTCAGTGGTCGATCGTCATCAAACAAGTGTCTCGGCTCCACTGCATTCGCATGGCTATGCTGTCCCTCCTGTCATCTCCTGTCTCTCACATGGCGCAAAGTGTCCCGTCATGTAGGCATACGACAGAGAAGACCGACACCAAGCCATGCACTTGGCTATGATCTGCAAAAGTTCGACGCCTTTCCCAGAACCTCGGCTGCTGGCTGGGTCGCTGTTGCTTTCGCCTGTGCCTGGCATAAGAAGGTGTGCATGAATTATTGCACCACATTACGATCGTCTATCTTTGAAACGGCGGCAACTGAGCGAGCACCCTCAAGGTAGCTTGTTCATTTTTGAACCCAGGCTCTTTGCCATCATGTAGCTTGTTCATGTTTGGAGCATTGTGCCCGTGTTTCCGCATGCCCAATTGCATTTAATGCAAAGACTACCTTGACTTTACCCATGACTCGGATGGTCTGTGCACGATGCTTCTACAACGATCCAAGAAGCCAAGAGAAAGCTCATGGTGGCCTTCTTGGATTACAGGCTGCTGCGGGTACAACCAGTAGCAGAGAAGGTTTGGTCAATAGGAGCGAAAAACACACGATGCCACGCGCCCTGGAAATTTCGAATCCAGTAGCAGGGCCTTCGTGTTCTCCTCTCTCGCGAAGCTTTGCACCTCCGTCCAAGATGCTTTCAGCCCCTCCTTGTCTGGAGCCTGCCAGGGATGCACAACCACAAAGAGACTCCAGATCCTTGTCATTTGCAGTGCCTCCCAAAGAATCAGGTCATTGCCAGATCCCTGGCTCTGCTCCTGCTCTTGGACAATCTATGCATGCCGGCGTGTTGCAAGCAACGCAGGTGCTGCCAGCGAACGTCTATACTCTAAACCTCTCTCTCTCTCTCTCCCGGCATTCCCTCAACCCTTCCGTCCTCTCCTACCTTGGCCCAGACCAATACTTTCGTCGGGTCCGATCTCTCCGGTACTTGCAGAACATCCCATGTGACCTCAAGCACAAGCACACGCTTGTGACTCGCTTGTTCCGGATCCTTTGCTTCATACAGTGCGGCTTCCTTTACCAAGCAAGTGCATGCAGGTCGTGTTCACACGGAAGGTCCCATGCACATTCCTGGCCTCGCATTGTGTTGCGGGGATCCTCGGCTAGGTGCACTGGCGAGTGCTGGAACATTCCAGACATGTGCTTGCCTGTCAGAACATCAAAGGCAAGACTCCATTGAAATCCATCGAAACTTTCCTTGGACGCTGCTTCGACACTTCTTAAGCCGAAACAACAAGATGCCACAGCGTCTCGGCAAGACTTGTGTGCTTTTTGGTGCAAGTCACCGGGGTGAGTTCCTCCTTGATGAGGTTATTCGTATCCTCTGGCTCAGCTATGGGTCTCGTCTATGCTGACGAGAGACCATGCTGCGAATACGCAGTGAAACACTGGGCTCGACCATGCCTCCACAGCACCATACCACTTCGTGCTCTCCGTGTCCTTAGAATCAGAAAGGATCCCGGTCGTCGATCGGATGCAGAGACGGTGAGGTTTGCTGGCAGCTGTGGCCTCGTAAGGTAAGATACCACCATATGGGTCGAGGACCTCGGCAGCTCTAGCAGTCTCTAAAGCGCAAAATCATGGGCTCTCCTTGCACTTGGCAGCACACGCTGCAGCCTTTATCAACTCGACTTCAGCTGTTGGCCATGCTGGTCCAGCAAAGCTATGTACAAGCAGCTGTCGTAGGAGGCAGATGCTTCCCGAATGTCCCCTCTCGTCCTGTCTTAGAACGCAGCTTTGGGACAGCTCGAGAGCTTTCAGTTGTCGGATTCGGTGTCATCTGAGCCGCTGGAGTCTGATTGCTGCTCAGCCACCTGCAGCATGGCCCAGGTCATGCCGCGCATTCACAGGTGGGGGTTTCCGAAAATAGGGGACCCTACTATAGTACTCCAAATAGTAGGATCCTTACTATAAGGACCACAAAATGAAACAGGGTACCCCTAATTTTCGGAAACTCTCAGGTGACCCCAAATCCAAGGATGTGAAAAGCGACCGTACCCAGCCAGCCTGGGCCAAGACATCCTCGTCCAGCTTCCGACGCCATGTGCGTGGGGAATGGATGTCTTCAAGGGTCTTTGTGCCTTGGCTTCATCCAGCTATGAATGCATAGCCCGCGCAGTGGCTTTGTGCGGACTTTTCAGCGAAGGCTCTGAAGAAATATTCCAGCCGATTGTCCAGAAACTTAGATGCCATCTCCTCGCTGATAAACTGCCGCACATCTTCGAGAAGAAGTTCTTCCGCATCCTTCTAAGCAAATGTCACGCATGCAGCCTGGTCCTATCCTTGATAAAGCTATGGATACCCAAAGGCTCCATGGCAGTTCCTTTTTGGGATTACTCATAGGATTCTAAATATGAACCCCTAAAAAGGAACTACTGTGGAGCCTTAGGGTAGTGCATCTCAATTCCGATGGTGTTCCGAAGGCTGAGGACAAGTCGGGCCCCTGTCTCGCAGCCACAGACTGCAGTGCTTCCATGTCTTTGTGGCTGAAAGCTTCCCAGCCCATCTTCTTCACAAAGTCCTGCGGAGCATCGTGTTCAACTAGAGCCTACTAGAAAGCCTTAATGACTAATTAGAACAATTATTTTTTGGGGGTCTCTGTTTGCTTCGCTTTGCTCCGGGGTATGGATCGTGAGCAGTCCCCACGACCCGGGCGTTCGCGCGACCCCATCCATCCTTTTGCACAGATGGGCTTGGCTGTACACGGAGAGCGTTCCCGTGAGAAACCGGATGCCCATGTTTGTGTACCGGACAAGCAACTAAACATACATGGGATTATACACCACCGAGTTCCCTGGGCCTCGTGTTTCTCACTGTTGTTGTGCTACTGAAACCAACCTGTCCTGCCTTTGGGGGTCTCTCTCTCGCTCTCTCTCTGTCTGCCGTTGCATCCAGAGGTTTGGGTATGCATTACCACAATTATAACAAGGAGCCCCCAAAATGGTATAGGCAAGGTATTTATTTAGGCTCCTACAGTGGAGACTAGAGCCTTCCATCGCTGTCGCTGTGCGTGGCAGTCGATGCAGGAACATGCACGAAGGTCGCAGCTCCTCAAGATCCTCAATGTGCAAGAGGGCGTGCCTGCTTGGGCCTGCTGCCCTGTGGCAAAAGGGGCCACGCGTGATGCTGACTACACTACCCTGCGGTATACAATGATAGCATAGAGCATGGTAGAGTTGATTTGACTCTGACGCGCAGTACTTTGAGAACTGCTCAGAGCTACACCAAGAGCGAGGCGGAAAATGTCGAAGGCTTGCGACAGCGAGGTGCTTGCAATGCTTAAGACTATTCATCATAGCATTTTCGGTAGGACTGCAGGAAACATATCCTTGCATGTATATACTGTATATACGTAGGCATGTCTGTATTTATGGACATATGACATGATGCACATGCCAATAGCTACGTGTAGATGTATGCATGCACGCATGTATACACGAACGCGGGAGTGAGCAAAGAAGCCGATTTCAACAGTGAACGCTGATTAAGCCCCGAGGCTTCGTTGAGGCCTTTTGGGGGCGGGGGGGGTTACTTAGAATCAGGCTCCTGTTAAACAGTTGGTTTTGCCTCCTACCGCAAAGACACTGCCCACATGGCAGGGTTCTCCTGTATGTAGGAAGCTTGCCATGATACCCCGTGCCTGTAAGCCCATCGTACTCGATCTTTCTCGCGCAATGCTTTCTCTGCATCCTCGAGTGCTCTTTCCCATTGCTCTTTTGCCTTGTGCAGGGGTGAGGAGTCGAACTTACACAAGAATATACTGTAACATACTGCAACATACCGCAGTCTCGCATCTGTTTGGTTTTGTCTAGTCCAGTTCTGCGCAGTAGAGCGTATAGCACACTGCAGCCAGAGTATGTTATGAAGCTGCATTCAAAGAATGGCAGCCCTCATCTTGCCGGCCTTGATCTGTTGCTGGTAGGCCTTCTTGGCTTCGAGGTACTCTGTTTCCACCAGCTCCTGCCATAAGAACCCTCAGCGCGCCGGGTCTTGTAAGAAGAAGCGGATAATGTAGGAACCTGATCAAGAAACCTTGGGCCTGTCTTAGGGCTCCTTCTTTGAATCCTACTATTTGGGGATTACAGGCCCAGGGTTTCTAAATCAGGATCCTACATTACCTCACAAGTCTTGGGAAGCAAGCGCTGCGCTGTGCGGTAAGCTGAGGCTACCTTCTCCTGCTTGGTGAGCTTCTTGCCCTTGGCCAGGCGATCGCAAGCTCGATTCCCTACCGAGAAATGGGGTACAATAATGACTACTATTACTACCATTCTTCCATTCCCTACTAACCGAAGGTAAGCAGGTACAGTGGAGAAGTTCACCAGGCCTTTGCGTTCAAGTGGGGAACGCCCCTCTCATCGAAGCCGCTCCATTTTCCCATATGCTCGCCTTAGTCAGCGCCCAGCACACTGACAAGATTGTCGGAGACCTTTGACGAGGCTGTAGCCCGTCTGGAAGTGCCATTTGGCTTCCTGTGCCTCAGGAGATGTTGAAGCAGTGGCGAGGAGCTTGTCTGAACCTAAAACCCTGAATCCTAGCGACCCTAAGCTTTGTGGAACCAGGGGGAAGTTGACTGCCTCACAGGGACAGACAAAGAGGGAGAAAAAGAGAGAGAGAGAGAGAGAGAGAGAGAGAGAGAGGGAGGGAGGGAGGGAGGGAGAGAGTGTGTGTGTGTGTGTTGCCGAGGACTTGAGAATAGGCCGATTGTGCTGCAAATAGTAATGCGTATGTATATGTACACGCGGTTCTTGGCCAATTTCTGCCTTTCCTTGCCTGTTTGAACGCTCGTTCCAATATTAACGCAAGCCAAACGGCTGCGCCCGACTGGACTCTGTGCCATGAAAGTGACATACATAGTTGATTTACGGACTCTTGTTTCTGTAGTCCTATACCCCTCCGTCGTTCGGATCCTGAACAACTATCTCTGTTCAATTTTCGAGAATGGAAGACCCTAACATAGTACCCTAAATTGTCGGATTCTGTTTAAATTAACTACGTATATGGACCCAAAATAAGGTACCCCTAAGTTTCGGAAGCTCCCATCTGATCTGGATGAGCTGCAGTTGGAGGGGTTGGGAATGTGTGGCAGGGAGCATACACCAGGACCCACCCGTTTCAAAAAACTGTCTGGGCATGCGCAATGGACAGGGGGACTTTCCTGACCCCATCGCAGGGGCGGTCTGCGGTCACTACATCGAGCTTGTCCGAAAAGATGCGCACGGAACAATCGTCATTTACACCCGAAGCATCCGTTTGACGTTCTCCAGAAGTGGCAGGAGTATGCAGGAAAGAAGCAACGAAAGGCACCGGTGGTGGGGTTAGGGGCCTTATGTAGATGGGACGTCTCAGAGGTATCATCAGTGCATGTAAAGAACTAGCGACACAAAGACTGCATGCATCGAATACACCACTTTGAACCTTGCAAACGCGGCTTTCGTGAAATGGACTTTTGGAAGAGAGCTGCAAATGGGAGCCGCTTCTGTAGAACGGACGGACGAGGGTGCACCAGCGGAGGGTGGACAGGGTGGAACAGGCGGCAAGACTTGAACTGGGATGTCTGCGACATGACGTGACTAGTGGAATCTAGTGGAGCGGGGGAGGTGTAGCAATTTGCAGAAAGAGAGCATGGACAAAACTGATTCAGGCAACTTGGCCCACGAAAGCGTGTGTCGAGTTGCGATGGGCTTATGTCGCACGGAGCAAGCACAACTGAGTATGTCTGCAAGCAAGCCTGAAAACTGCCCCAAACCTCGAGGGAACGTGTGTGAAGCTTGCTGTGTGTGGGCCTCTTCCGGTGGGCGGGCTTCAATGTCATCAGGATCCAATTCCTTACGTTCAAATGCCCCGTCACATGAGCTTTGCAAAAGCTGTAGGGCCGAGTTCCTGCGCGACTCTGCTGCGCAGCGTCATGGCATCAACAGGATGGCTCTTAACCAGTTCACGGTACATTGTAATCCCCTATTGGTGTTGTCAACTGTGCTCTTGTGTCAAGTTGTCGACTGCAGGTTGCAACAGGAAGGTGACTACGGCTTCGGATTCTACATGACATCTGCTGCACAAAAGGGGTGTCTACCAGCCGACAAAGCCAGCAGTGGCTGCAAAGATAAGAACATACATGTCTAGAGGTTTCAAAGAGACTTCAATCCGTTCCAAGGCAGAAGCTGCCTGTTGAAGTTGATCTGTGGGCTCGAGAACGGTCTGCATGTCTTCTTGCGCTGCTTCCACCTTCCAGCATGCTCAGCGAAGAAGGGCACGGGCGTTGTTCACACAAGCAGAAATGGGGTTATCAGCACTGATTCAGACAGTGCAGCAGCCAGTGAGAGCAAAATTTCACAGACGCCTCATCGTAGCCTCAGTGCCGCAACAATTTCTACCCCGCTCGATCGCACTGCCATCCCAAAATCACTTGATGGAGGCAAGAAGCTCATATAGGAGGACCCAGGACCACTATCGAGTCACTGGGCAAGGAAAGCCATGGCCGGCTCATGAGGACATCTTTTCCTTCATGGGATATCTCAGCTACTCCAAACCATCCCCGGGTGCACATCCGTGGTGGCAATACGTCTACCGGCCGAGGACCCTTGGCAGTGTGAGTAGCATTTGCCGAGTGTGCACGCGACAGTAGATGAGATACCGTAGATGCAGGCATGTTGGGTTGGGGCATTTGGGGAGTTTCAATCTGATTCTTGCTTCTGTAGATTATGCGCATCATCAGCCAAAGCACGCCGAAGTCTCGCAAAGTTTCTCTGGAGCAGATACTCACAGCCCAACAGGCCACATGCAACCTGAACTGAAACTAACTCCTGGTCTCTGTCTTCGCCGCACAGGTAGACCGAAACGCTTCTGAGAAGCGCACAGAGGCAACTGCCCAACTTTGGGGTCAGGTGACACATTTGTACTCGGTGACTCCTGGTTCCACATTCGGCGTTTTACGCCGAAGCCCGGTGAGGTCAGTCAAGCATGTTCAGTTCATGAAAAAAATACCTCAACATTAACAAGTCAAAGCGCGCCTTCGACTCTCAGAACTTGAACACCATCTCCGCACTCCACAAGGAACATTCCAGCCCTGTAGCATAGGCTATGCCATCGTCTGCAAAATCCTGCGAGGAGCAAAGGCTTCATGCCAGTATAGGAGTTACATGGAGTTACTAGAAGGACTGATACGAGGTACTATAAAATAGTATAAATACCATTGTACTGCCATGGTTCTGACAACTACAAGCGTTCGCAGGGAGTGCACACGATGGCATCAAAAGGGGGCTTCGCCTGACCTAACTTGCGATGACAACGAGCATGGTGGTTGCTGCAGTCATGTCTGGCTATCTTGGTGCTGTTGGGGGTTGGAGTAAGCTAGGATTAACCGATTAATAAGTCGGACACATGACACATTCAAAGCACGAGCAGACCCGATTGAATCTTGCGCTGACCGTTGTGCTGAACACGGATCAATAACACGCTACACGCAGAAGCAGAGCAAACACCACAATCGACAGAAAAGAGTAAATAGTCGTGTCTCAACCGAGAGGCTTCTGGATCTGGGAGCTCCACGATGGGGATTGCGGTCCGTCGCCCATTTGCTGCCCATCGATCGGCGTCGGGTGCACTGCCTGAGTTCTGGCTGCATCTGCGAGGCTTCCAGTAGCAGCGCAAGAGCATGAACCGGTACCCAGGACCGGGACAGCGTGCCGGCAGAGTTGCAAGGCTTCTGCCCGTGCCCTTGCCCGATTCCTCCAACTGTAGCACCAAGGTCAGATGTCGATCCTTCTCCTCACCGACATGTGCAAACTCACAAAGCTCGGTCGCGCAGCTACAGGTGTCACGCCGGCCTTGTCGGGAGTCCAAACGGCCACGAAGTATTCCTGAAGTGTAAGTGGCGACAAGAGGCCTTGGTCATGATTGGACACTTTGGTCTAAGCGACTCCGGGTGTCAGCTGCCGTGGGATCTCCTGTGACACACGCAAAAACCCGTGGCTGCTCGGAATTTCTTGCTTGAGCCCTTCCTCGACGAGCTCGCGCTCATCAGATCTGCGGCTGCGAAGCACTTCCGGTGCTTGGTCTCGAGACAGCGGTCCGTACACAGCGAACTGCAGCCTCAGAATGTCTTGGAGGCTTCTCGGTGTCTTCGGCACCACCGACAGCATTACATCTGCGTGCTTCCCAGGCTCGCCATGTATGAGGGAGATCCTGGCAACAGGGGTGAGAGGGTGGAGGGGGGGAGTGCACATGTCAGAGTGTCAGGCTGAAGCCCTTTGTGCAAGATCGCTGAGGCCTTTGATGCGGTGGTCGTTCTGAAGCAAGCTCAAGAAGCCACGGGCGGGCTCATTCACTTCGAATCGCAGGAGCTGATTGCACATCGACGCTCCGATGGTCGTCAATTCACTCCGAGCGGTCGCCCAGGATCTGTCAAAGAATGCCACGTCCACGCATGAGAAGTGCTTCAGGAAATCGCTGTCGCTCATCCAGAAAGCTCCATCATGGTCATCGACTTCGACATCAAAAGCTTGCTTCGTCTTTTGCGTCCAGCAAGCACTCTTATCGCTCCAGTCGCCCGTCCATTCGTGATCACCCCAGGGATTGCGCAAACGAACGAGTCGAACTCCGCATGCCTCACGCACTGTCAGAAGAGTGTATGCATGTCCCGGTACCAAGCCATCCAGGGGAGCTTTCCCTCCGCCCTTTGTCAGGTTATCCACGCCGTTAGTGCCGGCCACCATCACATACCCTTTGGTGTCGAATGTGCTCCTCGGAGTCAGCCAAGTGACAAACTCGAATCGACAGTACCCCCCCCATCATAGTCTTTCCTAGAGAAAGTTCGGTGATACCGTAGCATGTAGAGTCTCTGGAGCTTGCACCTCCTAGAAGCCAACTATGCTGCTAGTCTGTCGAATCCAAGCTGCAGCGCTTGAAAGAAGCTGTCCGGCGTTGCAAATCCACGAGGGAGCTGTCCCTTGAGATGATACCTGTCTCTTCCAAACTCGCATGAAACGACACCGGTATATCAGCATACTGGGATATCTTAGCTGAAGCGAAAACCGAGTGGCCGCTTGCCAGCTGCACCCAGCAAATCCATCAAGGCTTGGTACCTCACAGCTTGCATCACGAATTTTGGCAGCGAAGACGGGGCATGCCGCGACTGGCTCGGTTCCATTAAGACAAGGCTGGTGTAGCTGCATGCATCCCATGGCTTGGAACAGACAGCAGCCGGGAAGGGGGCTGAAGAAGCCGAAGCACGGAATTCCACCCTCGATCTGCTCGTAAGAACCATGCAGCTTGGCCCATGCCTTCTCCAAAAGTGCCACCCAAAGCTCGTTCACCGTCTGGCCTGCGAGAGTATGTGAGTTTCTTGGACGCCTAGCCGCTAGCTGGAGCTAGTGCTACGGGCTGCTATGGCAGCCTTAAACCTGCAAAACCTTCAAGGAACACGGGGTACCAGAGCATACAGTATTCCAGTCAGCTTTTCAGAAACTCAACTTCCCAATCTCGCCTTCTCCTTCGACGTTGACATGTGCATAGCAAGGCTTGCCCGTCGATGGGGAGCATGGGATCAGATCATCCACGATGACTTTGGTCAGCTGCCCGTTCTTAAAGCACGAGACTTCGTAGACGCCAAGGCTACTATGCTTGTCGCTGCTGAAGAGTTCGCGGATGAGCTGAGGCTGCTCAGCCACGGCTGCCAACGCAGCCAGGTACCAACAGTCACCCAAAGCTCCCTGGTGGATGTCACACGGCGTGATAGAGTCAGAGAAGACTCGGATCTCGCCCTTGTTGCAGAATTCGCTGGGGCGCTTCCAAACAACGCATGGGTTGTCCTGACTCTGTGGTTGGTTGAACAGCGCAGCGTCGTCTGGGAAGAATTCCGCATCAATGAACCTTGGCAACGGCATGCCGGCTCATGGCCCGCCCCGATGTCTTGTTGCAACTTGCAAACGGGCGGCTGCGAAATGCCTCGTTTCGAGCACGCCTCCTGCAAACACAAAGCAACAGGAAAGTTCTGACCCGGGCACCTCATTTTGCAAAGGCCTTCAGACAACCATGCCTCGATCTTGGCTGCCGACACAAGTTTGGATGGAACAATTCCCAACGATTGGAGGTTCGCCACGATGTCGTGCCGCCTCTCAGTGCTACAAACAACATCCAACCGAGCGCTGTGGTCTGTCGGATGCCAAGCCTTCTCACTTCTTCGGCGGTCTGTTGCTGCACCAGCTTACGATCTGCTGGTTGTGGCACCCAGCTGTAGCTGGCGCTGAGCCTTGGCACGGCAAACCCGAGGTCCAGAAGCCATGGGATGCGAGGACATCTGACTGCAGCTGAGCTTCGTGTACCCCTTCTTTGGATCAACCTTCTAGGGCTCGCAATGTCACGGTCACAAGGAAGCAGGGAAATCAGACCGAACTTTGGTTACCCAGTACACAATATTGCATCTGGGTCCCCGTACGAGCCCTAAAGTCTGCATCCCGTCATACAAACACTTCCTGCCTGCACAATTTGGCAAAGCTCCACCTCCAGCCCCGGCGGTACCTCCACCTTTGTTTCACTCACATGGGCTGCGGAAACCCTCAACCCTAAACCACAAACCCTAAACCCGAAACCCCTAAACCCCTAACCTTCTCCGTGTGCCCGGTTCTCAAGATCCGGGGCTCAGGCATTGCATGTGCTCGAGGTCCCTTTGCCAGGTGGAGCCCGGAGCTCCTCCGGAAGCAATGAAGGCCCGGGTAATGTAGGAGTTTTCGAAAATTAGGGGTACAGTATTTGGGGGTCCTTATAATAAGGATCCTACTATTTAGGGTACTATATATATTAGGGTCCCCTAACTTTCGGAAACTCCCATGTAGGAACCTTTTGAAACCGGACTTGATGACTGCCAGCATTGCCTCCTCTGCTGTTCTTCAGCGATGAAGAAACCCTGGTCCTATAACCCCCAAAATAGTAGAACTCATATAAAAAACCCTAATAAAACCTCAAACTTTCTTAATCAGGTTCCTATATTAAAGGGTGCGACTCTGACAAATACCTACGGCCTCAGGCTTTTCGTGCTTCATGTTGGGGCCGGGGCGGTGGGATATTGATATGGGGACAATAAGCCAGAGGACCACTCCAACACTGCAAGCAGATCGTATGTTCGAACTGCAACCTCCCCAGCTCGCACGGTCCAGATTCACGGATTTCGAGATGTCCACGGTGAAATTCAAGTTGGCGAGCTTCTTGTTACACAGACGCAATTGAAAGGAGCTGCTTTTGCGATCATACCGCTGCAGCAGAATCACCCCCTCCTTGGCTTCAGGCGGACGTGTTCGTCAGTCTTACCCGCGAAACACTCATGAACCCCTGCACGGATGCAATATGATGTACACTGCAAAATGTAATTATGCCCGGATGCCTGCAGGACCTTCTTCTTCTCCTCGCTTTTCTCTGCGGGATCCGCATGTTCCGCCTTCCCTGCGGATCCTTGAACCGGCGACTTGCTCATCAAAGGCTGCGGCTTCCTGGGAGCACGAGCTGAGACAATCCCATGGACATGGCCGCGAGTTTTCAAGCATGCGTATCTGTTTGTCTAGTTATTGTTGTACATACATGTATATATATATATGTATAGTGTACAGATTTATTCGTGTAAACGCATAACATTTGTGTACGTCGCAGAGAGAGATACGTCCCGTGTGTACATATGCGTTTCTCTGCCTGTGTGTATGTGTATGTGTATATACATATCCAAATGTGTGTAATAACAGTAAATACATAAATAAATAAATGAATAAATAAATATATATATATATATATGATAATATGTATACATGTGTGTCTATGTAGACATGCAGACATGCAAAAGTCATTTGCGCCCAGGCATCTCATCGGATGGATCGGCGCCTTTCGGATCGCCCGCTGCTGGAGCTCCTGTAGGGAAACAACAAAGCGATCCAAAAGGCATTCTACACAAGGCTACCATACTTATAAGCGTTCGATAGAAGGTACTACTAGTATCATATCTTATATGCTCTTGGCTTCGACTTCAGTGGGTGGCGCAGTCATCAATCTGTTCAGTTCTGCTGAAAATGCCGTCTTTCCCAGATAGTGAGCGCCAGAGTCCAGCCCAACATGCCAGTTCTAATATCTGGGTGTGTAGTATCACCGAAAGCCAGCTCCACCTGCGGCGTAGCTGGATGCGATTATATATAGATAAACTTGATATTTATTTCTATATATATATATAATATACACACATATACACACATAAGTTAGGAGCCCTATAGTACCCCTAAAGGAACCCTAAGAGTGGCCAAAGCATCGTGGGGCCTCCGATGGGAACTCGCGAGCCACCCTGCGCCAGCCTTTCGCTCTCACTGCCACTTTCGCTCTCGCGGCGTTTCGAGTTTTAGGGATCCTATAAGGGTTCCTTTAAGGGATCCGTCAAGGGATCTACAAGGGTTCCTTGTTAGGGATCTATACGGGTTCCCTTTTAAGGAAGGGTTCCTTTGAGCTTTAAGATCCATTAAGTTCAACCATGATATATCGGCCCTTTGTGCGGAGTCGCTCTTGGATTTTAGGGTTTAGGGTATTTTCTACTTGTGCTTCTGATTTTAGGGGTGTAGCTTCATCTAAACTGACATGGCACATGTTACAATGCGAGCTCGACATCTACCGTGCGAAAGTGCACGGAACAGTAGTACAAGTAGCAGCAATAGCCTGACAGTCCAAACCCATATGTGCATCGTCATGCACGCTTCTCGCACGAAGCGTCAGCAAAAAGAAAGTAAATGACACACGAACAATCGTCAGAGTCCTGTCTCAACCGAGTAGCTTCTGGATCTGGGAGCTCCACGATGGGGATTGCGGTCCGTCGACCATTTGCTGCTCACTGATGGGCGTTGGGTGCACTGCCTGAGTTCTGGCTGCGTCTAGGAGGCTACCACCAAAACAGGACAGAGTGCCGCCAGAGTTGCTAGGCTTCTGCCCGTGCCCTTGCCCCATTCATCCAACTGTAGCACCAAGGTCAGATGTCGATCCTTCTCCTCACCGACATGTGCAAACTCACAAAGCTCGGTCACGCAGCTACAGGTGTCACGCCGGCCTTGTCGGGAGTCCAAACGGCCACGAAGTATTCCTGAAGTGCAAGCGGCGACAAGAGAGGCCTTCGTCATGATTGGACACTTTGGTCTAAGCGACTCCGGGTGTCAGCTGTCGTGGGATCTCCTGTGACGCACGCAAAAACCCGCGGCTGCTGGGAATTTCTTGCTTGAGCCCTTCCTCGACGAGCTCGCGCTCATCAGATCTGCGGCTGCGAAGCACTTCCGGTGCTCGGTCTCGAGACAGCGGTCCGTACACAGCGAACTGCAGCCTCAGAATGTCTTGGAGGCTTCTCGGTTTCTTCGGCACCACCGACAGCATTACATCTGCGTGCTTCCCAGGCTCGCCATGTATGAGGGAGATCCTGGCAACAGGGATGAGAGGGAGGAGGGGGGGAGTGCACATGTCAGAGTGTCAGACTGAAGCCCTTTGCGCAAGATCGCTGAGGCCTTTGATGCGGTGGTCGTTCTGAAGCAAGCTCAAGAAGCCACGGGCGGGCTCATTCACTTCGAATCGCAGGAGCTGATTGCACATCGACGCTCCGATGGTCGTCAACTTACTCCGAGCGGTCGCCCAGGATCTATCAAAGAATGCCACGTCCACGCATGAGAAGTGCTTCAGGAAATCGCTGGCGCTCATCCAGAAAGCTCCGTCATGGTCATCGACTTCGACATCAAAAGCTTGCTTCGTCTTTTGCGTCCAGCAAGCACTCTTATCGCTCCAGTCGCCCGTCCATTCGTGATCACCCCAGGGATTGCGCAAACGAACGAGTCGAACGCCGCATGCCTCACGCACTGTCAGCAGAGTGTATGCATGTCCCGGTACCAAGCCATCCAAGGGAGCTTTCCCTCCGCCCTTTGTCAGGTTATCCACGCCGTTAGTGCCGGCCACCATCACATACCCTTTGGTGTCGAATGTGCTCCTCGGAGTCAGCCAAGTGACAAACTCGAATCGACAGTACCCCCCCTCCCCCATCATAGTCTTTCCTAGAGAAAGTTCGGTGATACCGTAGCATGTAGAGTCTCTGGAGCTTGCACCTCCTAGAAGCCAACTATGCTAGTCTGTCGAATCCAAGCTGCAGCGCTTGAAAGAAGCTGTCCGGCGTTGCAAATCCACGAGGGAGCTGTCCCTTGAGTTGATACCTGTCTCTTCCAAACTCGCATGAAACGGCACCGATATATCAGCACACTGGGATATCTCGGCTAAAGCGAAACCCGAGTGGCCGCTTGCCAGCTGCACCCAGCAAGTCCATCAAGGCTTGGTACCTCACAGCTTGCATCACGAATTCTGGCAGCGAAGACGGGGCATGCCGCGACTAGCTCGGTTCTATTACGACAGGGCTGGTGTAGCTGCATGCATCCCATGGCTTGGAAAAAACAGCAGCCGGGAAGGGGACTGAAGAATCCAAAGCACGGAATTCCACCCTCGATCTGCTCGTAGGAACCATGCAGCTTGGCCCATGCCTTCTCCAAAAGTGCCACCCAAAGCTCGTTCACCGTCTGGCCTGCGAGAGTATGTGAGATTCTTGGACGCCTAGCCGCCAGCTGCCGCTACTGCTACGGGCTGCTATGGCAGCCTTAAACCTGCAAAACCTTCAAGGAACACGGGGTACCAGAGCATACAGTATTCCAGTCAGCTTTTCAGAAACTCAACTTCCCAATCTCGCCTTCTCCTTCGACGTTGACATGTGCATAGCAAGGCTTGCCCGTCGATGGGGAGCATGGGATCAGATCATCCACGATGACTTTGGTCAGCTGCCCATTCTTGAAGCACGAGACTTCGTAGACGCCAAGGCTACTATGCTTGTCGCTGCTGAAGAGTTCGCGGATGAGCTGAGGCTGCTCGGCCAGGGCTGCCAACGCAGCCAGGTACCAACAGTCACCCAAAGCTCCCTGGTGGATGTCACACGGCGTGATGGAGTCAGAGAAGACTCGGATCTCGCCCTTGTTGCAGAATTCGCTGGGGCGCTTCCAAACAACGCACGGGTTGTCTTGACTCCACGGCTGCTTGAACAGCGCAGCGTCGTCTGGGAAGAATTCCGCATCAATGAACCTTGAAAGTGACATGCAACGGCGGCATGTTGGCACTTCTCACATGTCTTTTTGCAAATGGGCTGCTGCGAAATGCCTCGCTTGGAGCATGCCTCCTGCAGGAAGGTTCGGACCTACGAAGCAACTATTTGCAAAGACCTTCGGAAAGCACGCCTCGATCTTGGCTGCCGAATCGAACTTGGATGGAACAATGTTGCAGGTTTTGAGGTTCGCCACGATGTCGTGCCGCCTCTCGCAGATTCGATTGCAACCCGTCACTGTGGTCTCTGGATGCCAGGCCTTTTTACTTCCTCTGCTGTCTGCTGCTGCACCAGCTTGCGATCTGCTGGTTGTGGCACCCAGCTGTATGTGGCCCGAAGCCTGGTCTCACGGCAGCGAGCTGGGGGCCCCGGGTTGCAGAACCCCAGTTTAGTTGGGCACATGGCCTGTCTTGCTGCAAGCATTTGTTGAAAAAGCGGAAACAAGGGGACGCGAGATGGGAGGACATGTGAGTGCAGCAGAGCTTCGTGTACCCCTTCTTCGGATTAACCTTCATGGCTTCAGAATAACAAGCATTCTACATGGAGCGACGCGCAGCACTGCAAAAGCCGCTGAAGAATCTCATCTCTCCGACTTCCGGCCTGGCCGATTTGGCAAAGCTCCACCGTCACTCCAGGCGGCACCTTCGTGCTGGGCGCTGAAGGCGCGTCCCGCGTCGCACATCATGGTGGGCTGAGCGGCACTGCTACAAAACATTCTGTGTAACAAAAACTTTTTCTGATGCCCGGTTCTCAAGATCCGGGTTTCGGGCATTGCACGTGTGCGAAGTCCCTTTTCCGGGCGAAGCGCGAAGTTCCTCCGGAATCAGTGAACTGCAGGGCACTTGTCACAGACTCCCACGGCCGCAACCCTCCCCAGCTTGCACGGTCCAGATTCACGGATTTCGAGATGTCCACGGTGAAGTTCAAGTTGGCGAGCTTCTTGTTACACAGACGCAATTGAAAGCAGCTGCTTTTGCGATCATACCGCTGCAGCAGAATCACCCCCTCCTTGGCTTCAGGCGGACGTGTTCGTCAGTTTTTGTTTCCAGACACCGATGGATGCATGCATGTGACATCACGACATGCAGTATACGCCCAGATGCCTGCAAGACTTGCTTCTTCTCGTCGCATTTTTGTGTGGCATCCACATGTTCTGCCTTACCCGCAGATCCTTGAACCGGCGACTTGCTCATCATGGGCTGCGGCTTCCTGGCGGCAGCAGCTGAAACGAGCCCTGTGGCCCGTGGACGTGGCCGTAGCATGATGTTTAAGCTCGTCCAAGCATCTCATCGGGTGGATCGCCGGGAGCGATTGACCTTGGATTCTGCGCTACAGGCCCTAGGCTGCAGGCCGTAGGACTACCTTGGACCAAATTGCAAGTGCCTGGTCCAGAGGTTTTCTTTTCGTTCGCTCCAGCATTGTGTGCAGCGACTCGGACGGGGTTTGCGAACTCTGTGTGGTGTCTTTGTCCGGAAACGAGTTTGGTGTCAGATTGTGACGTGTTTCTATCACAAGAGCGGGCCAATGACAGGTGATAATCCTTTGAGCATCTGCGAAGCGATGGCTATGTCGATACCATGAATCCGCTTGCATCACCGTTGAGCGCAAGAACCTCGTGTTGCTGCGGCTGGAAGCAGCCATCGGCATCCAGAGAAGTGGTGTCCCGGTAGAGATGCTCTCACACCAACCCTTTCCGATGTGTCGGCACTCAGCAAATTACACACAGAAGCCTGCAGTGTGTGGGCAGGACAGGAAGCACCACAATCTTTACCGACATCGTTCGCTGCGACCAGACATATCACGGCGAGACCAAACTTCATCGCGATTTGGCTGTGGTGGATGCAGAACGATCTCATGTTAGGCAGCCTGACACGTGGGTGCAGACGTGCAGACACAGGTGCCAGCAGCTGCAAGAACTGAGACATAATCGACTGTCAGTTGCCGCTGGGATCTGCAGGCAAACCAATTGCTGAAATCAGTGCTGTTTTCAAAAGCCGTGTGATGCCCTGTGAATGTGAATGAAGCCTGGGATAATTCGGACGGTCCTTTTATCACACAGGACGTGGATGATGATTCTGACTTCCGGGTGAATCGGATCGCGCATATGTGCAAGTAGGCATGAGCGGAGAGGAGACAACACCAAGCAGGACAGACCTAAGCACCGTGCAGTGACAGGTGCACCGGTTGACGTCTGCTAAGCCAAGCAGCCTGGGCGGGCCCTCGTCTTCGGGCGGCGCTTCAACGGAGGCCACGTCGGAACCCGACTTGGATGACGCACGCCTTGCAGGTTGTTGGAGTGGCGATGGGCCCGGCGACGGCGGCCAAACGCTCGGCCTTGGCAGCGACACTGTGTCCAGATGCGTCCAGTGAATGCCATGAGCCATGCGTCATAAAGCATGAGAAGGCCTTGTTGCAGGTTCGCTGCTCTCCCTCTCAAGGATTTGTAAGGCACGCTTGGCAGACTGAGCAGGCCCTCTTCTGGGAGTCCAGCGAACGCGGGGCATCATCTTCGGACGCCGCTTCGCTGGGCGCGTTCGGCTCTTCCGGCGTGGCAGCTCCGCCTCTCTGCAGCCGGGCGCTCGAGGCGAAGCTTGCTGCCGAGGGCCTGAGTCAAATGCAACCGAGAGCTGGAACAAAACGCTCAGCTTTCAGCTCTGACCATGAGGTAGCTTGTATCTCATCCTTTTTGTGGAGATTCACGCGCTATTCAACAAGCGCTCGGCATGCATTACTAATACCTTGCACGAAGCCGAGCACATCGAAGAAGAAACGATGAGCATCCGACGGCTCCCCCTCGGGTGGTGCTGCCGCTTCCCAGGGCGAGTGCGGCTCATCTGGCACCGCTTGCATGTAGCGCTCAGGCAGGTCTAGCGGAGGGACGCGGTTTGATGCAGAGAGAGGTCTGCTGCTGCCACTGCCGCGCATTCTGCTCGCGGGCTTCGTGACGGGTGGCGCTGGCCTTCAGGTCAACAATTCCGACGCAGTTACAAGCAAAGATAACACACCAATATGCGATACGATGTTCTGGGGGGGGCGCTGCTAAAACAACGCTCTAAGTGCACGGCGAATCCTCCTCTGGTGGTGCTTCCGCTTCAAAGGGCGCATTCAAGTCGTCTGGTACAGATTGTATGTAGCCGCCACTGCTGCTCGTTCTCGATGTGCTTTCGGGCACTCTCCACGACTGGGACACCGTGGGCCGAGACCCAAGCCTCAATAGCAGAGGTGGAGAGGAGGTGGTGCAAGCGTAACATGGGGCACATTGGACATGTCGTGCTGGACATCTAAGCATCCGGCGGGCCCCCCTCCGGCGGTGCTGCAGCTTCTCGGGGTTCGTTGAAGGCTCGTGGTGCCGTGTGCGCCTCGACGAGGCCGCTCCTGGATGACCCGGTCGGAGCTGTGGATGCAAGCGGCATCGGCCTAGGTCTGGGCCAGGAAAGAATGCTCAAGCTCTGTACCTGACCGTGAATGCACAGCTCTTGACCGTACTTTCGGGTTGCAAGACTGGGATGGCCGGTCCAAGTGCGATGATATGACAACGGAGTGCTCTGAGCATCATGGGACACAGCAGATACTCTAGACCTGTAGATCCTACGGCGTGCTCCCCTTCCAGCCCTGCAGCCTTCCGGTGCTCCAGCCTTGCAGCCTTCTCCAGCCTTCTCCAGCTTTCCAACCCTCCAACTTCTGGCCTTCCAGCCCTCCTCCCAGCCTCCAGCCCTCCAGCCTTCCAGCCTGGAGGGTCTAGCCTGCAAGGCTGTGGCTGGAAGGCGGGAAGGCTTGGAGGCTTTGGGACTGGAGGGCTGGAAGGCTGGAGGAAGGCTGGAAGGCTGGAGGGCAGTGGAAATTTAAACTTCCGGAAGTAAACAATTCATTTACACTACCTCTGTTATCTTTGGGCCTGGGCAGCCCTCCACATATTTAAAAAGCGTCGCCGTACTAGTCATGCGACGTAGGAGCCGCCCCTGCAAGGTTGCGATACAACTTGCGGAGAGCTGTTGGAAGCGTGGCTTCGGGTCTCCAGCAGCAGCTTCCCTCTTCGAAGCCAGCTCTTGGGTAACTCGGCATCGAGGGTGCCTTGTGCCCGAACAGAGGGGTTTGGATCGAAAACCAAGACCCTCACCGTAACGATGTGAGCTCGACTCAAGACTACCATACCATGGCCCTGTCACCAAAGCCAGTAAGACTCGCGACACTTGCGTGATCTTGCGTGCCCTCGGCACCTTTCGAAACGATTAGCAGCACAACTCCAGGGTTCCATCGGCAAAACTCCAGAGCCGAACGTCTCCTTCCACAAGACAGCGTAGAAACTACGGCGCCTGCACTTCAAACGGACTTCCTGGGTTGGTTAACTTCTGCCCAGACGGCGTTGGGGCGAAACTGGGGCTGTAAGCTTGAAACCCTGAGCCGAGACTGCGGCTGGTGCTCTCTGCTGGGTCGAACCTGAAGTTGGCCCATTTCCTGGCAAGAGCAGAACGTCAAAGAAGCACAGCAAAGCAATTGTGAAAGCGTCGACTTTAATGCAGGGCACTTGCACCTCCGCAATCTCACGTTGGAGTTCATCCACCAGCCGCTTTTGCTCCTCCATCATCGCTCGCATGCGATTTCGCAGAACTTGATGCTGCGTCTCTGCCACGGAGATCGAACCGTTCAGGCTTGGTGATCCAAGTTTCTCCGAACCTGGCTGCAATCCCTGTGAAGAGCTCACTTGCAGCTTCAGCTTGGAGTTCTCCAGCTCCAGACGGGAGTTGCTTTCTCGCAGTTGTTGGCACTCCATCTCCAGGCTACGCAGCCTTTCCTGCAACGACTCATCGCTGGGCCTCGGCATTGACAGTGCTGTGGCCGCTGGCGGAGTCGAAAGCTGCATTTGCCCCGGAAGCACCAGCTGCGTGTCCCTCCATGGTGCCGGGGTTGGCAGACTCATGAAATCTGTACTCATGAGTGTCCAAGCAAATCTAGCAGAGCTGTGCCGCAAATTCGGTTGTTCTCTAGGCGAGGTGCCGCTAGGATTCCTTCAGGTGCCGGCTGCTACATCTTGGAGGTCGTCTCAGCTTGACCGTATGCCAAGCAGCCGGCATACGCGTGTGCAATGGTTCCGATAAGGTCAACATGCTCTTCCAAAAATTTCGCTGGGGCCTATGGCCTATGTACAAGCAGGGGATTACATATAATATCTTTCGGGCGCACATGGGTAGTGCGACCAGACGAAAGATGGCCAAGTGCCACGGAGCAGACGAGGAGTTGTTCATTCATGCCAACGATAGAACATGCTGGACCTTACGTCCGTTTTGTAGTTGGTTCTGGACTGACCCCGACATTACGTACGTTGGGCCACGGACTCCTTTTGTTTTCGCCGCTGTGCTTGGGAGTCAACGGTTTTCGCTGCGCTGCCCAGGCAGGGCAATGTGAAACTTCGCTCTCTGTACCCGCATTGCAAGCGATGTCAGGTTGCCGAAGCTCCACCTTGGAGGCAGGCACGGCAGATCTCTGCCACGGTATCAGCCGCGAGTGTAGCATCACATTATGAAGCCATGGAGACCGGGAAACAACGTCGTTGTTCAGTCTAACCGTCTAACCTCGGTGGCTGGTGGGCAGAAGCGCCAGTCGACAAGAGCAGCACTAGCCAATAGTCACTGATCACCAGCAGCAGCAGCATCAGCGGCAAACAGCAACGGCGGTAAACAACAGCAGCAACAGCAGCAACAGCAACAGCAAAAACAAAAACAACAACAACAACAACAACAACAACAACAACAACAACAACAACAACAACAACAACAACAACAGCAACAGCAACAGCAACAGCAACAGCAACAGCAACAGCAACAGCAACAGCAACAGCAACAGCAACAGCAACAGCAACAGCAACAGCAACACCAGCAGCAACAACAACAACACCAACGCCAACACCAACAACAACGACACCAACACCAGCAGCAGCAACAGCAGCAGCAGCAGCAGCAGCGACAGCAACAGCCAACACAGGACACCGGACACGAGGTAACAAACAACAAACAACCGACAACAGACCACAACAACCACAACCACAACCACAACCACAACCAGAACCACAAGCAACAGCAACAACAACCACAACAATCATTTTTCATTCACACGCAGCGGGGGAGGACTGTCTGTGGTGAAACTTTTCGTCCACGCTTTGCGAGGGATCGACCTAGTGCCCTGCTTATTACTTGCGCGGTCACTCTTCACGGCAAGCCGTGTCTCAACACTGCACTTGCGCACGCTCCGCCCCTCAAGGCTGCAAGCTGTGAAGTGGGAAGTGAATGTGTCTTCAGAGTCTTATGCGAGTTACGATTTCGGCACTTGCTGAAAGCTAACCGGCTTGGTTGCCATGTATCACTGGCTGCCACCTGATGCGCTCCTACCGTTTAAAAACCCCTGGGGAGAAACTCCACCAGCTGTACACACATGGCAAGGGGAGAAACTCCTCCGATTGTTGGGGAGAGTCTCCTCCTAAGGGAGGGTTGTCCTCTGCCTCGTTGCTGGGGAGTACCTCCACCACGCTGTCGCTTCAGGGGAGAATCTCCACCTGACGGACCTGCGTCTCCCCGTTTAGTCATTCATGAGCCTAGGGGTACTTCTCAGCAGGGGTACTTCTCAGCCACTACCGAAGATTTAAGAAGATTGTTGAATTATTTGGAAGATTGTTGAAGAAAAACGAATTATTTGGAAGATTGTTGAAGAAAAATGAATTATTTGGAAGATTATTGAAGAAAAACAAATTATTTGGAAGATTGTGGCAGAAATGCGAATTATGTGAGGGTTTCAATTTGAGGCTTAAACACGGTTTAGGGTTTAGGGCTCATGGTTTAGGCTTCCTGGCACGGCTCGAGGACCTGCCAAAATGGAACACCGAGGTTTAGGGTTTAAAGATTCTAGGTCTAGTATTGGTCAGCTTCGGGGCCCACAAAGTTTAGGGTGCCAACTTCCGAGGTTCAGGGTTTAAAGGTTTAGGGTTTAGGGCTTACGGTTGTTCGGGTCTAAAGGTGTAGGGTTTAGGGTTTAGGGTTTGGGTGAAAACACCCACTTTGTGGGAGTACTAGAGTTGAAAACAAATATGAGTAATCGAGTAGTGAAGTAATAGAGTAATAGAATAATAGAGTAATAGACTAATAGAGTACTAGAGTATTTGAGTAATAGAGTAATAGAGTAATAGAATAATAGAGTAATGGAGTACCAGAGTAATAGACTATGTGTGTGGAAATTTGAAACCCTTTGCTATGTTCGCGAAGCGAGGAATTTTTTTGTTTTTTTTATGCAAAATTCATGCAAATGCTTTTGGTGCGAGTGTCTGGAGCAAGCCTTGTAGTGTGTGTGGAGTACTAGAGTTGAAAACAAATATGGATGTTCGCGAAGCGTGGAAATTTTTTGTTTTTTTTAAGCAAAATTCATGCAAATGCTTTTGGTGCGAGTGTCTGGAGCAAGCCTTGTAGTGTGTCTGGAGTACTAGAGTTGAAAACAAATATGGATGTTCGCGAAGCGAGGAAATTTTTTGTTTTTTTATGCAAAATTCATGCAAATGCTTTTGGTGCGAGTGTCTGGGGCAAGCCTTGTAGTGTGTGTGGAGTACTAGAGTCGAAACCAAATATGGATGTTCGCGAAGCGAAGAAATTTTTTGTTTTTTTATGCAAAATTCATGCAAATGCTTTTGATGCGAGTGTCTGGAGCAAGCCTTGTAGTGTGTGTGGAGTACTAGAGTTGAAAACAAATATGGATGTTCGCGAAGCGAGGAAATTTTTTGTTTTTTATGCAAAATTCATGCAAATGCTTTTGGTGCGAGTGTCTGGAGCAAGCCTTGTAGTGTGTGTGGAGTACCAGAGTTGAAAACAAATATGGATGTTCGCGAAGCGAGGAAATTTTTTTGTTTTTATATGCAAAATTCATGCAAATGCTTTTGGTGTGAGTGTCTGGAGCAAGCCTTGTAATTAGTGTGTGTGGAGTACTAGAGTTGAAAACAAATATGGATGTTCGCGAAGCGAGGAAATTTTTTGTTTTTTATGCAAAATTCATGCAAATGCTTTTGGCGCGAGTGTCTGGAGCAAGCCTTGTAGTGTGTGTGGAGTACTAGAGTTGAAAACAAATATGGATGTTCGCGAAGCGAGGAAATTTTTTTGTTTTTTTATGCAAAATTCATGCAAATGCTTTTGGTGCGAGTATCTGGAGCAAGCCTTGTAATTAGTGTGTGTGGAGTACTAGAGTTGAAAACAAATATGGATGTTCGCGAAGCGAGGAAATTTTTTGTTTTTTTATGCAAAATTCATGCAAATGCTTTTGGTGCGAGTGTCTGGAGCAAGCCTTGTAGTGTGTGTGGAGTACTAGAGTTGAAAACAAAATATGGATGTTCGCGAAGCGAAGAAATTTTTTTGTTTTTTTATGCAAAATTCATGCAAATGCTTTTGATGCGAGTGTCTGGCGTCTGGAGCAAGCCTTGTAGTGTGTGTGGAGTACTAGAGTTGAAAACAAATATGGATGTTCGCGAAGCGAGGAAATTTTTTGTTTTTTTATGCAAAATTCATGCAAATGCTTTTGGTGCGAGTGTCTGGAGCAAGCCTTGTAGTCTTCCCTGTTCTACGTAAGACTGCTGCATGCTTTTAAATTCTTCTAAATTCTTCTAGATTCGTCGGAATTCTGCAATTTTCTTCCAAAATCTTCCGGTTTCTGCCTGTCTGTCAAGACATGCCTGGTTCCCAACACCATTTTTTTTCATTTGTACACACACACGGTATCCCCCATTTCTTCGTTTTTCTACCTTTTCTACCTTTTTCTACCTTTTATTCGGTTGAGGTTTGCTTTTTTTTTCTCTTTTTTTCCCGCATGCTTGGGGGAAGGAAATGCTGCCCGATTTTCAGCCCCTCCCCCCCCCCCTCCCCTAGGCCATACGTTTAGGGCCTAGGGTTTACGGCCTTAGGTTTAGGGCCTAGGGTTTGGGGCCTTAAGTTTAGGGCCTAGGGTTTGGGGCCTTAGGTTTAGTGCCTAGGGTTTAGGGCCTTGCGTTTAGGGCCTAGGGTTTAGGGCCTAGGGTTTAGGGCCTAGGGTTCGGGGCCTTAGGTTTAGGGCCTAGGGTTTAGGGCCTTGCGTTTAGGGCCTAGGGTTTGGGGCCTTAGGTTTAGGGCCTAGGGTTTGGGGCCTTACGTTTAGGGCCTAGGGTTTGGGGCCTTAGGTTGAGGGCCTAGGGTTTGGGGCCTTAGGTTGAGGGCCTAGGGTTTGGGGCCTTAGGTTTAGGGCCTAGGGTTTAGGGCCTTAGGTTTAGGGCCTAGGGTTTAGATGTATGTATATACGTGTGTATGTATGTATGTTTGTATGTATGTATGTATATGTATGTATGTATGTATGTATGTATGTATGTACATGTGTGTGTGGGTGTGCAGGTGTGTATGTTCGTATGTGTAGGTGTTTATGTGTGTGTGTGTGTATGCATGTGCTTATGTATGTATGCATGTATGGATGTATCTGCCTATGTATGTATGTATATATGTATGTATGTATGTACCTATGTATGTACTCATTTACACACACATACAAATGTATACATAATTGCGCATACGTATATACATGCATGTGTAGATATTTATAGGTGCGTATATATAGATATATATGAAGATACACAAACATGTCTGTATATATATATATATGTATACATGTCTGTATCTATATATATTGTTTGTGTATGTATATACATACACATGTATGTATATACGTGTGTGTCTACCTATATGTAATATCTGTAAACAGATATAAATATATGAAGAATCGCCATTAAGGACATCACCAACCTCGCCATAATTATTAAAACCATCATCATGCTCGTCATAATTATCAAACCACCATCATCGTCTTCATAGCCCTAGTCTTCTTCGTAGAACCCAGGTTTTATAATCATCAACATCATCATCATATATCATCATGCACATCGCCAACGACATATTCACAATCGTCATCATAATCAGCATCGGCCATCATCAGTCATCGTTGTTATCATCCACATAGAACGTCGTTATAGTCATCATCATAAACATCGAATCATCAATGAGATAGAAGCCAAGAAGCTGGAATAATTACCAGTACTTTTGCTCAGGGCTCAAGGCTCCTTGTTTTTACTGTTACACATACCGGCGTTCACGGCTTTGAAACATGCGACAATAATCAACAACATGTTGTTACGAAACAGAGTCTACTTAATGTATTTCCGAACAGGGTGAGAATTGTAATTTCCTATAGGATTTGTGCTTGGAATCAAGAAACAAGGGGCGAATTGTATTACATCGGATTATGTATTCCGAACAGGTGCGAATTGCAGTTCCTAAAGGATGTGCTTGGAATCCAAGAAAAACAAGGGTGCGAATTGTAATTTCCCATAGGATATGTATTTCCGAACAGGGTGCGAATTGTAATTTCCCATAGGATTTGTGCTTGGAATCCAAGAAAAACAAGGGTGCGAATTGTAATTTCCCATAGGATATGTATTTCCGAACAGGGTGCGAATTCTAATTTCCCATAGGACTTGTGCTTGGAATCCAAGAAACACAAGCGCTAATCAGGGTGCGAGCGGGTGCGAATTGTAATTTCCCATAGGATATGTATTTCCGAACAGGGTGCGAATTGTAATTTCCCATAGGATTTGTGCTTGGAATCCAAGAAAAACAAGGGTGCGAATTGTAATTTCCCATAGGATGCTGTACCTGGATGCCAAGCAACAGAGTCTACTTAATGTATTTCCGAACAGGGTGCGAATTGTAATTTCCCATAGGATTTGTGCTTGGAATCCAAGAAAAACAAGGGTGCGAATTGTAATTTCCTATAGGATATGTATTTTCGAACAGGGTGCG